ATACTACAGTATACTACCGACAGGTTCGGCTGACACTCGTATTGCATTGTAGTATTTTATTACAGTTAAATAACCCCGGCTGGTAGCCGTGATGTGTTGTAGTATACTGTAGTATACTACAGACAGGCCCGGTTGATAGCCGTATTGTCGGCTGGTAGCCATGAAGTATCGTAGTATACTACAGTATACTACCGACAGGCATGGCTGACACTCGTATTGAATGGCAGTATTGTATTACAGTTAAATAACCCCGGCTGGAAGCCGTGATCTATGCCGCGATGTATTGTAATGTATGCATTGGGAAGATGAATTTAGATGCATTTCGATGATTTTCGGAAAATTTAATGTAATTTTGGTGGTTTTCTGCTTATGAAACATGCTAGAACCAGTCTCCGAAATGCGCGCATTTTTTGAACGAACAGTATACTATAGTACAGCCCGGCTGGCAGCCGAGCAATCGGAGACAAAATTCCCGGCTGTCAGCCGGCGTCAAACGCGCTAATCGGGTGATACAGTTTGCTGCGTTTAAAATGACAATTTTAGCATCATTCAATAAGCTTTTATTATAATAAAATGAATAATCTACCTTTCTTTTGTACGTCCTGAAAATTTCAATGACATCCACCATAAAGTAACGACGATATACCCATTTAAAGTTATGAAATACAAGTTTCGCCATATTAGTTTATAATGTTTTGGACCAGAGTTGGTTGCTTTCAACATGGCGGCCAGGATCCGGAAGTAACATGTGCCGGCACAAAAACTTCAAAGGTTCCGACGCGAGTGAACCTTCTGCCCTTCTCTATTTTGTGCTACGTTTGAGATTCAATTAGTGTTCCGAAAATACAGTACAGAGTACTTGGAACAGTAAATGGAGCAGCCTCCTGAAGAGTAGCCAGAACAGTTCAGAACAGTCATGTGACGGTGTTCGGTTCGATTATATTAATGTTCTGAAGAGGAGGCTGCTCCATTTACTGTTCGGAGTACTCCGGATTTTCGGAACACTAATTAAATCAAACCAACAATGATCACATGACTGTTCTGACGGTCACATGTCTGTTCTGGCTGCGCCTACTTTAGAGTAGGGGCAGTCAGAACAGTCATGTGACCGTTTTCGGTTCGATTCAATTAGTGTTCCGAAAATCCGGAGTACTCCGAACAATAAATGGAGCAGCCTCCAGCCACAGAACAGTTCAGAACAGTCATGTGACCATGTTCACTTGGATTCTATTAGTGTTCCGAAGTGTAGCCAAAAAGTGCAGAACAGTCATGTGACCATGCTCGCAGTTTGATTCTGTTATGTTCCGAAGTGCAGCCAGAACAGTTCAGAACAGTTGTATGACCATGTTCAGTTTGATGTTCTGGACAAAAATCTGGAGTACCATACTCACTGCTGAGCGGCTTGCCAGACTGGTCAGTCTAGCATCTTAAAATGTTTGTATAGGCACTAGTATGGTTTCCAGTGCAATTTGAAAAAAAACATGCATGAATGAGTTCTTCAGAGACTATTAAAATTGCTCAAATCCAAAGGGCAATGAGTTCTTTAAAGACTATTAAAATTGCACAAATCTGAAGGACAATAGTTTGGTGGGATAAGCATTTGCACCATCTAAGCATTTCATCATAGATCTAAGCATTTCACCATCTAAGCATTTCACCATAGATCTAAGCATTTCACCATAGATGTAAGCATTTCACCATAGATCTAAGCATTTGCACTATCTAAGCATTTTGCCATCTATAAAGCATTTTACCATAGATCTGAGCATTTCACCATCTAAGCATTTCACCATCTAAGCATTTCACCATCTAATTAATTAGCATTTGCACCATCTAAGCATTGCACCATCTAAGCATTTCACTATATAAGTATTTCACCATCTAATTAATTAGCATTTGCACCATCTAAGCATTGCACTATCTAAGTATTTCACCATCTAATTAGCATTTGCACCATCTAAGCATTGCACCATATCTAAGCATTTCACCATCTAAGCATTTCACCATAGATCATGGCTAAGCATTTCACCATCTGAGAGCATGTTGAAACATGCCAAATAAGATCTTCTGGAGCAGAATGTTTCTTATTTCCATTATGGCAGATATAGTCATTCATCTTGCTGGGTAACATCTCACCCATGGCAATGACAATCACAATAACACCACTGCTTTTGATGTTTTAGAGATCTAATGAGTATTTACAAAGAACCGCCACCTGGAATGTGTGTTGTTGCTGATGACAAGGATGTCACAAAGGTGCAGTATCATTACTACTACATTTTTGTTTAATGATGAAAGAACAATTTTATGGACATGCTCACTTATTTTTTGGATTGATTGCTTTTGGTCTGGGCAATAAATGTTACTGTTGTTAGTATATTACATGCTCAAATAAACTTACAAAAGAACACAAAGTCTTTTTTGCTTGCAAGATTTATTGAATTTTCATGGTACTGTATGCATTGTTAAAGAAATACAACTGACCAATCACCTATGACTTTGGCCGAAAGCTGTATTGTGATTAACTGAAAAATCGCTAATTTATACTGCATATACAGGGTGTATAAAAAAACCTGCACAGTTTGAAAATGTTCGCTAAACTGGAAATTCCGCAAAATTTGTGAAAACATGGGTAGTTTGGAGTCTGTTGTATCTTTACCACTAAAATTATTTTGAAAAGTAAGTTTTGAAAGAGTCCAGGTAGGTTGTTTTAAAAACCACTCTAAAAATGGCTTGCACACAAAAAGAGAAGGCTTAAACACAATTTGAATTCATAGCGTGCAAGATTGGAGGGTGGTTTATGAACATTCAAAGTTTGATGTATGCTAATTCTAACACATGCAACCCCTAAAGCTTGGACTTTTACCCGTGTTAGCTGTTCACGCACAATTTATTGACTGATTTTATGCCTGATTGATTTTAAAAATTATGTGTGAAAGACTACTATGGAAAAAGTCCAAGTTTTAGAGGTCGCTTGTTGGACTTAATATGTCTGGTACTTTGATCATTTATAAAACACCTTCTAAATTTACACCCTATATGAATTCAAATTGCGTTTTTTGCCTTGCATTTGGGGGAAAAGCCATTTTTAAAGTGTTTTTTTTTTAAACAAACCTCCTGCCCTCGAAAATTTACTTTTCAAAATAATTTTAGTGGTAAAGGTATTACTGTATTTTGCGGAATTTGCAGTTTGGCGAAAATTTTTGAACTGTGCAGTTTTTCATACACCCGCGTTGTATAATTTTCAAAATCATGACAAGTTTTTAACAAGATTCTGCAGGTCTTGCCGAATTTGTGCCTGACATCTCATGGTGCAGTAGGGCTTGTGGAACAGTGACACTGTCCAAAATGCAGTCTAGTCATTGTTTTTGCCAGTGGAAATTACATACGACAGTAGTTCTCTATTCAATTTCATTGTTTGTTTAAAAAAACTGATTAATTTAAAAAAGATTAAAAATACAAAAAAGAGAAGAAGAGGATTTTGATACCTGTGTTGCCGTATGTTATGACTCTAATATGTTGGCCATCACTTTGATGTCCAAATTCTGGTATCTAAACCGTGGTGACGTGGTCGTCTTGTTTGTTTTTTAAAATTGTAGATTCATGCATTAATAACAGGACCATTCGATACACCATATGAGGGTGGATTTTTTTACTTCATTATTCGCTGTCCACCAGATTATCCCATCCGACCACCTCGTGTTAAATTCATGACAACTGGTCAAGGACAAGTAAGGTTCAATCCAAATTTATACAAAAATGGAAAGATCTGTTTGAGTATTCTTGGGTACGTATTAAATCTATTACATTTGAAGGAACACTAAATAGTAAATTAGCACGTAATTGCATTTTACTCGCCTTAAAGGTGAATGATTTTACTCGTCACAGGAGAGTCCTCTCCTATAAGGCACTTTTTTTAAACAAAGCAATTTGATAGCTTATATACGTGTTCATTAAAACATCTACGTAGAAAGAGCATACATTCAACTTTATGGAATAGAGCCAAATCAGAACTACTTTGTATATTGAAGAATATTCCCCAACCTCGTACCCAGGATATCCTGGCTTGCGAGGTTGAATATTCCCATAACAAGCCTATACAGGTGTTTCGCAAGATATTGTATATGCATGGCTGCATGCGCAACCTCATTTTAGTAAATTACATTTTCCGAATTCTTTTGAAAAAAAACTGCCAAAATGTGTATGGCATTGTTGAGCGTCTCATGTATGCATGTTGTTAAATGTATTATATGATTGCATGTAGTTGTGTTGTTTATTTTGCTACTGTATGTATTTTGAAGGTTTAAAAATAAATGTACAAAATAAATGTACAGTCACAAATAATGCATAAAAAAGTTATATTGTCGTTAGAGCGAATGAACGTTTATAGATTGTAGTCAAATAACAAAACAGTTCGTAAAATGTACCAACCAAACCGCTTGAAAAGTGGCCTGGAACGAGGTTGTGAAGTATCTTGGGAAATGCACATTGCAGTTTGTACGTATCTATTGGATCTTGTTTAGGACGGTCTTGAGTAATATTTGTCTTGATTAAAATGGTAAAGTCGGTGTGCATTCTTGTTCTCTTTTTATGAAGAACATGGACTGGACCTTCCTGGAGTCCTGCTCAATCTCTATCAAGTGTACTCATCTCTATCCAGTCACTTCTCAATGAAAAACCATACCACAATGAACCAGGATTTGAGCAGGTACACTATACCGTTAGTAGAATTAGTGAATGTTAGTAAACGAATACCATCTTGTTGTTCATTGATAAAATAAAAGTAATGGTGTAGTAAAAATAAGGAATCAAACTCTACCATAGAAACCAAACATACTAGGCAATTAACGGAGGTAATGATAATCACGGAACGTTGAAGTTTGAGAAAGTTGACAACGTTTAGTAAACAAGATCAATGTTTACCCTAATTACTGGTGTCGAAATGACTGTGTTCAAAATAATATTATTTGGCATGTCCTCATTTTGACCAATTTACCACGCACATATGATCATGATGTGTGTAACGTCTACGATGTGTAATCACATTAACATGCATTGTCTT